CAATCACGCAATCTCTGCATATCCCAAAAGTACATCCTGGGAAAAGAAAAATAAAATTTTAATTCAATGAAATTATTAGTAAACTACTTGTGAAATAAGTGGGGCTCAGAGAAGAACACATCAAGATAGAAAGTTATGTTTGAAGAATTTTGAGGATAATAATACATGGGGAAATCTACCCAGTACATTCAGAAGGATGGTACTAACATCCACATTATGCATTGACTGTGTTTACCAGATTTCTAACATATTTAGGGGACTTATGTAAAATGAAATAATTTAGTCTGTAACATCTATAAATATGTTCCTAGAGAGTTAGAGAAAATACATTTCTGCTCTTGTAATATTATAATTTGTATTTATCTTTATTTAAAAAGTTCAGTGCATTCTGTAGTGAAAATTACTCTTAATGTGAGAATCAGGGGAGCTAGATTTAATGCTGGCTTATTAGGCAAACAACTTGACCTCATTAAATTTTATGTATTTCTTTATGTTTTAAAAATAGTAAGTTAAAATAGTACTCTCCGATATTCACTCCAGCTTGAACTTCTAGGGCTATCTATCATCCAACTGACTTCCTTATCAGAAAGAGGGAGCTAACCTTTACTTTGGTCTTATTTGGGAGAACCAAGATAGAATGTCATATTGTTTATAGGACACTGGGTTGGGAAAAGGGCTCTTGTTTCTTGCTTTTGGATCTAATACAACTTTACTAGACCATGTTGTCTCAAGTGTGGTTTTAAAAGTCAATGAAAATTAGAGCAGTTCTTTTGGCAGTAGAAGTAAAGCTGTATAAACCCTTGTTATTTATTTATAGACATTCCCTATTAAGAAACAAATTGTCTGAAAAACCTAAATACAAGTCTTGGAATCAATCATTTTGGATTTTATCTAGGGCACTCACATTTTGTCTTTGACCAGTCAAAGTCATTGCATTTGGTAGGCCCCTATTGTTTGTTGTTGTTGTTGTGTTGTTGTTGTTTTTCAGTAAAATAATGAGACTTTTCAATGTTCTTAACAGTGTAAATGTGTGAAGAAAAATGTGGCATTCACAGAGAATTCTGCAAACTTGAGCTATTGATTAATGGTAACATTAAATTCTGATTTTATGTGTATGGGAAATACAGGAAAATCCAACTCTAAAGCATTTTGGTCGATTACAATTAAATTACACCTCTGACCAACCCCAGAATGCCACACATTGAGATGCATATATCACTAGCAACATTTTAGAATGGTTTCTGTCTGGCACCCCCTTGATTTCAGTTTCATTCTATGTATATAGAGAAGATTGAGTTATTAGTTCGGTTATTTTCTGATCTAAATTCTTCAAGACGAGGGTGAACCTCTCTCCATGTACACTTATTTCAAAGCAACTAAATATTTGACTGATTTTAATCGTTTAACACATTTTTTAAATACTAATTTGTCTATTGATGGACTACAAAGTTGGGGTCATTATTCTTCTCTATGTTAGACAATATGCAAGACAAATGTACAGTTTGCCAACTTTTATTTGTCCAGGCCATAGAAATACATGCCACAGCGAATAACCTTGGAAATGGGCAAATGCCTACCACAAAATGTGGACGAGCAAATACCTTGACCAAGACAGTTGTGGGACTTTTATTTTGTGGTATATTATTGTTTGGGGGCTTTCTGGGTTTCTTTCTGGCAAAATTTCTTGTCTATATCCAGTAAAAATCTTCATATTAGAATGGCAGGCAAGGAGACAGCTACATCTCAAGTAGTAATGAATCAATATTTTTTTTGTGTGTGTGTGTATTTGCAAAAGCAATCATTCTTTGCATCCTTTGTTCTAAAGGTGCATCTAACTCAGGTATTTTTTTATTCAAATATATCCTTTATCAATATTAACTTTTATTTAAAAGATAGAAATGTATTTAAAGTACATGTGGTCTTTTTATTTTCAAAGCTAGATCTTTTAGAAAACTATTTCAGAGGGGAGAGGGGATGGAGTGACGGAACAAGATTAATCAAAGAACATATATGCATATATTCATAATCCATGGATTCATACAATAGTGTTTGGAAGGCCTGGGGTGGGGTGGGCACAGGGTGGAGGGGGGGAAAGAGGGGGAAAATGGGGGGCATCTGTAATACTATCTGTAATAAAAAACCTAAAAGTGAAAAGAAGAATAAAAATATTTATTTTCTATTATTTTTCTTAGCCAATATTTTACTTTAAAAACATATACTGATGTTATAAAACATATTTTATTGGGTCATAATAAAGCAGCATATCTATGTGGGATCCTGTAAAATCCCCAATAGACTGTGAATGTTTTAATTTAAATGAAATATACTATTTATCTAAAATAGTTCAAACATTATTTTAAATTAATAAATGTCATGCTTGGTGAAAGAATGCAATCAATAAATGCTGACATTCTGAACTTAAAAAAAGAAGATTTTTTTTCTTTAAATTTCTTGAAAATACTTTTCTTCAGAGATTCCTGTAAAAGATGGTTGTCTTAAAAAAGTAGTGGCAAGAATTTGTGAGGATAGTTATTTAGGTGTAATCACTGGAAACAAAACTATAAAGAAAGGCAAATATATTAACTTGGTTTTTGAAAAATGTTCTACTTAAATATGCAGAGATGTAAACTGGAATTAAGTAAATAAAAGCTTCAAATCTACACTTTCCTAATTATCCTTTCCCTATTCTTATAAATTAAATTCAGGGCAATATATGTTTCTCTTATAGAAATTCTTTTTCTAAAACAAATACTCATTATAATCTGGCTATAAATGTACCTTATCTTTTCAATGAAAATATTTTATATTATTATTTAACATTTTAATATACAACTGTAATAAAATTACATTATTGCATAATCATGTCTTTCTCTTAAAATAAACTGAAGATCTTTGTATAATTGATTTTAAGCAAAAGTTCCAATGATATTCTATTAACATTATAATTACACAACAGAAAAAATAATCCCAGGATTTCACAGATAATTTCTATTTCTACTAAGTAAAGGAAATTGAAGAACTGAGCAATAATTAAGTGTGTTTGGTAAATGTAGAAAAATGCTGTCCCCTTTCTCGAGTCATACATTTTTTTCTTTAATAACATTTTTATTACTTTATTAGCCACTTAAGTTCATTAACTGACATTTTGTAGACAAAAATAAATGATTTAAAGAATCTATTAAAGTTATGAGCTATTTCTCTAGTTGAAACCACAATATTCTCATTCCTAAACATCAATCTCGCTCATCTAGCGTCTTCCCACACTCTATCAGTTGGTACAAGGAAAGAGAAAAAGAGAGGGAAGAACGATTATATAAAACTAGAGGCCTGGTGCACAAAATTCGTGCACGGGGGGGGGGTCCCCTCAGTCCAGTCTACACCCTCTCCTATCTGGGACCCCTTGGGGGATGTCTGACTGCCGGTTTAGGCCTCTCACAATCCTGGACCTCTGTCCCCTAATTGCTCACCTGCTTGCCTGCCTGCCTGGTTGCCCCTAACTGCCCCTCTCCCCCTGCTGGCCTGGTTGCCCCTCACTGCCTCTATGTGACAGCCTGATTGCCCCTAACTGTACCCTTTGCCAGCCTGGACACCCCTAACTACCCCCTGCTGCCAGCCAGGTCATCTCCTCCCTGCTGGCCTAGTCACTCCTAACTGCCCCTACCACTGGCCTGGTCACCCCTAACTGCTCCCCCCTTGCCAGCCTGGTTGCCCCTCATGGCCCCCCTGCCAGCCTGGTCACCCCACGCAGCCTGCTGATCAGTTGTTTGGTTGTCCCTCACTAATCCCCCTGCTGGCCTGGTCGTAGGCAGCCATCTTGTGAGGGTGTGATGGTTAATTTGTATATTACCTCTTTATTATATAGAATTATGTAATACAAAGGTTTGGTTCTTTTCAGGCCACCTCCAAAAGTTCATTTTGTTTGTAATAAACTATTATTTCAATTGAATTATTTGTTAACTAGAGGCTTGGTGCATGAAATTCATGCACTCGGGGGGTTCCCTCAGCCTGGTCTGTGCCCTCTCGCAGTCCAGGAGTCCTCAGGGGATGTCTGACTGCCAGCTAAGGCCTGCTCCCCATGGGCCTATGCCGACAGTCGGACATCCTTAGCGCTGCCACAGAGGCGGGAGAGGTTACCGCCACCACCGCTGCACCTGCCAGCCATGAGCCCAGCTCAAGCTTCTGGCTGAGTGGTGCTCCCCCTATGGGAGCGTACTGACCACCAGGAGGCAGCACCTGCATTGAGCGTCTGCCCCAGTGGCCAGTGCACCTCATAGCCACCAGTCGTTCTGCAGTTCGGTTGATTTGCATATTAGCCTTTCATTACATAGGATAGGTATATTATTGAACATTCATGTTTTATAGCTTGAATAAAGTCTATTGCCCTGATCTCTACTCCAGAATAAAAATGGTTAGGAAAATTTGAGTGATATTTCTGTTTTTAGAGTGCTGAAAGAGTTTGGTATCTGATCAATGAATGGATTTCGAGGTAAATAGCCCAAGATGGAAAGATCTCCATTTGACAAAAGTACACATCCCACCTCTTCCACAAGGTTTCTTTGCATGGTGTAGGAGCCATCCCCAGAACACAAAACGTCTCATTTAGATGTGTATATAAAGTAAAATCTCCAAGTCTTATGGTATTTATATTTTTCTTTTAAAAATAATTTTCTATTTATACTTTTATGTTAAATACAATAGTAGAGAATTTCAAAACCAGATGAAAAAGAAAAAAAGTAAAATTTGCCTGCAATTTTACTATCACAGGTAAACTTTAAGATGCAACTTCAGGCATCATCTCTCTCTCTCTCTCTTTCTCTCTCTCAATCTCTCTTTGAGTGTTTATATACACTCAATGATCTTTCAAACAGCCCATTTATTTACATTATACATCTCTCTCTATACTCCTTTTATTTATGAGCATGCAGATTGATAGTTACCGTAAAACCTATTTCATTAGAAACAATTTCAGTGACACAGATTGAAAATGGAAGTTTCATTACATGAAGTTGATCATTACAGGAAATGAATTATTTCTAGATAAATAGGACACAAATCATGAAGAACTATTGCTGACTCCACTGAATAAAATTTTTGATTTTCAAAGACTGTCCAACATTGGTGAGTTAAGAATAAAGTACAGCTTTTATAAATTAAAAAATAATAGATCTATTCTAGCTTCTGAGCTGCTCTTTTCTAAATGTTAACTTATATTAAATAAAATAATAACTACTTCTTTTATGCTTCATTGAAAGCTTATGTGTTTTTCTCGTTTTATATTCGTGCTAAAAATACACTATTAAAAATATTAATATCCTATTTTGTTCAGTTAGAAGGCCCTAATGGGATCAGAAATCATTAAGTTATAAAATACTATCTCTACTCATATTTTCTTCTCATATATAAAACCTCCACAGTACAGTTAATATTTATGTATTTTTACTAAATTCTTCAAGAATATTATTAAATGCTTCAAATCTGTTTGTAAATTTCCACTAAAGATATCACAAATTAACTGCAGTTTTGTGACAGCTAAATTATCACCCTTTTAAATCAGCTTTTTTTTTTTCAATTTTGGAAATTGTTGGATTAGAGCCCATTGAAAAATGAGGGCTACATCAATTGAGATATTTTTTCTTTGAGGAAGAGGAGAATCCAATGTATAATTATGCATCAGACTCTTCAAGAAATGACAGATATTGTGGCTTATGACAATATATCACCTTTTCAGGAAACATCTGAATTATTTTTTTTAAATGTCTATTCATGGGACAGACAATATACTGACAAAATAATACCTAAATAAATACTTTTTAAAAATACAGGGTTTTAAAACTTAAAGTTATGCCCATTGCAGAAAATTAATGAAATTCTGAAAAAGAAAATTCACACTCAAAATGTACAATGCAGAGGGAGTTCCTATTAATATTTTTGGGCATTTCCTTCTTGATCAATAAGCTTTGTGGTCTGCTTTTTCTATTTTTAATTTAATTTATTGGGGTGACATTGGTTAATAAAATCACATAGGTTTCAGGGGTACAGTTCAGTAATACATTATCAGTATATTGCATTGTCTCCGTCCATCACCATTTATTCCCTTTTCCCTCTGGTAGTCACTATACTGTTGTCTATTAGGGGTTTTTTGTTGTTGTTGTTTGGTTTTGCTTAATCCCTTCACAAGAATTTCCCTGTTGTCTATTTTAGAAAAATTTATGTTTAGTGTTAGAAATTAGATATTTTCTCATGACCTAAGTGATTGCATTTCAATATTATAGACATTGAAAAATTATTGGGTACTTTATATTATGAATCTTATAAAAATTAACTTTCCCTTCCACATAAAAACCTGATTATGTGTTCTGCAGTGAATTAAATATTATTTGCAATTTAAATTTTCACCTGACAAATGTGTCTTGCAGATATAGAATTGGCTAACAAATTGAAAGAATTTGAGCAGGTGAGAATGTGAAATACTTATGTACTCAGTTTTAATAATAACTATAAGGCAATTTCTTTTAACAGTTTTTAAAATTATCAATACTATAATGTAAAACTTACAGTTGAAGTCATCATGCGATAAAATGTCTAGAAATCTGGATTCTAGTTCTACCTCTCCAATTTTCTAACTATGAGACTGTGGCCAAATTAAAATTCTCTAGACCTAAGTATTATCCTCATTTGTGAAATAGGAGGTTAAAATTAGATTGGTGGTTTTCAAAAGTTATTTTTATTTTAGAAATTGGAAATACATTTTCCCAAACAAAATTTTATATGGTCCCAGAAAAATGAAACGTATAAAACGTATTTTGTTTGTAGCAGCTGGTTCAGGGGCCTGAATTGCTGCCTTCTTGACTTCCATTTGGCCTCCTGACAGGAATCCCTTTAGCAATCCTATTGCCCCACTCCTTGATAATGCTAAGAAGAAAATTTGAAAATCATTGGGTTTGATTAGTTCCAAACTCTTTCAAATACCACTGCATGCAAATCCATTAATCTATAAACTGTGTGGCTGTTTGGGAGAAAGATTTATGGCCCTCAGCAAGGACAAAGTAGACCAGGCTGAACTCTCCTTTGTAGTTCTGTCATCAGGCCTTTTAGACAGTTTACAAAAAATTCACATGGATTGCATTCTGGGTAGAAACTCTAAGACCTGAAAATATTATTCTCTTCCTGTTAGAAAGGACAAATATTTGAGAAAATCAAAGTATTCACATAACTCTTTGGAGCTCCTTGGAAAAGGACTGCTCATTATAAGTAATACAAAATCAAGTCCAACTACACAAGCTGTGTTTACAGGCTCCCTATTAACCCCTAGAGTGCCGGGGAGCACGATTGCGCTCTTCCTGTCTTTCGCCAAAAGTGCCTGGAGCGCTATCATAATTTTTTTCCCCTAAACTGCTGTAAAATCAGCAAAAATGCCTTGGCAATTTTAGCATAGTTCCTAGGATATTGGTTGGCACTCAAAGGGTTAATTAAATCTAGAGTGGACTTCTTTCACCCTCACCCTGATTCTTCTGATTTCTTGTTGAGTCATGTACCTTTACCAGACAGTCTCTCAATACAAGTTTCCTCTTCTTTCTATTTAATTCTTGTTTTTATTTTCTTTTATTATTTTTCTTTCCTTTTCAGTTTATTTTTTCTCCTTTCTTTCATATTTTCTTCTCTTTTTCCTGTCTTGATATTTCCTTCCTCTCCTTCAAGAGAAACAGCATGGTTGCTATTAAAGACTAATAATGATCATATTTGATTTTTAACAGCTGGAAAAGCTAAAAGAACAACTCATGGAGGCAAAAGTTGTGGAGATGTCCTATGCTATATCTGGTCTAGCTTCTTCCCATTCTGATAAACAAGGTAAGTTTTCATTTCAAAGTTTAAACCTGACTTCTAAAAGATTACTTTTGCAATTATTTCCAAGAGAGAAGAAATTAAGCTGACATTTCTTAATTCTGATCAAGATCAAGGCTCATATTTTTTTAAAAAAGATTCCAATGAAAGTGTTCCCCTATGAATGTATCTGAGCTTTGTCATGTTAACAACAGTGGGTGGCAAGGTCACACATTCCAGGTTAAAGCGGAAATAGACCCTTATTGTTTAAAATTGTGGCCTACTCTTGCTATTTTGGCTTAAACACTGAAACTAGGAAGATTACAAAAAGAAATCATATAGTTTTAAGTCAATTCAGAATTTTAGAGCATTTCATATAAATAAGGACAAGCCTCATTGCTTAATGCTTGGACCAAGGCTTGATTCATAACATTTAATTTTAGAAAGACTCATCTGTTGGACGCCTGTAACTTTTCATAACATTTCTTGGGAAATTCTTGTTTCTTGCTGAATTAGTTCTTTTATTTGAAAAAATGTATGTATGTTTCCTCTTTTCATGGGATGAAATAAGATTCCCTAAGGCATATTTTATTTTTACTCATTCTTCTCTTCCCAGATTTCACTTCTGTAAAAACTTAGTTTTACAAGGAAAGAGGATGAACTAATATTATTTAAACACTTAGCACATACCAGACATTTTATATTTTAATATTTTAAAATGTGATGGCTAAGCATATAGGCTCTAGAGATAGACTACCTGGGTTTAAATTTTAACAACTTTGAGATGTCCTACCTATGTGACCTTGGGCAATTATATACCTTCCTATGCTTCTTCTTCTTCTTTTTTTTTTTTTTGCTCCAAATTCAAATGATAATAATAATGCTCATGAGAGCACTGGGAGGATTTGATAAGTTAATATATGAAAGGCATTTAAACTAATATCTAACATACTAGTACAGTAAGTAGTATGTAAAAATCTTTTATCATTTTAATCATTATTACTATAATTATGATTTTATTCTCACCATAAACACCATAAGATAGCTATTATGAGGCTTATTTTATAGGTGGGAAAATTACATCTTAGAGGGGTTAAATTATATGCTGAAAATAACTCAACTACTAAGTCACTTAGCTAATGCTTGAAGGAGAGTGATAGAAGATGAACTGAAAGATGGAATGGAGAGAACCTTCAGGATTTTTAAAATCTTCCGCTTTAAATAGGTATCATAGGGAATTCACTGGAAAGTTTTGAGCAAGTGAATAATATGAAAGAAATTTTGATAGAATCATTATTGATGCTTTGTGTATAATCTACACTAATAAAAGAGAAACATGGTAATTAGCGTACGACCGCTACCCTTCCCATTGGCTAATCAGCATATCCTTATGCAAATTAACTGTCAGCCAAGATGGCGGCCGGCAGCCAGGCAGCTGGAAGCGAACATGAGGCTTCCTTGCTTCAGTGACTGCAGACTCCAACGTTCCCCGCCTCACTTGCCGGCCTCTGAGTTGCAACTCTAAGCAACTATGTACTATGTTGCAAATAAGAAGCTAAACAAAACCCTAGAAACCAGCTTTCAGCCTGCCGGGATCTCAGAGCTGAAGTTATACATTGTTTCGATTATAGAACGGCAAACAAACCAGATACGAAGCCTCAGAGCTAGAGCCAGAGCTAAAGCTGGCCCAGAATAAAATAAAAAAAAGAGAAAAAAAAGGAGCGGTTGGGAGCTTCAGTCAACAACCGCCAGCCTGAAAGCAGCCCTCAGCCCCTCACCCAGACTGGCCAGGCACCCCAGTGGGGACCCCCACCCTGAAGGGTGTGTGACCAGCTGCAAACAGCCATCATCCCCTCATCCAGGCTGGCCAGGCACCCCAGTGGGGACCCCCACCCTGATCCAGGACACCCTTCAGGGCAAACCAGCCAGCCCCCACCC